GTGGCCTGGAAAAGGCTACAAATGTGCCTGACATATGCAACCAGGTCAGTCATCTACTTCCTATCTGTTACTTTACCAAGAAATAATAAAACCAACAAAAAGAACTACCAGAAAAAAATGGAAACAGCGTTGCTTTTGATGAAAGAGGCTAAAGATTGGTTTTTGAAAAACGAACCAATACCCAAAAACCTGAAATCAAACACCCCGGCTTGCTTTGTCCCTTACACACCTCACACACCTGCTCTCTGGCCACTCTGGCCGTAGGGGCTAATCTTGTTCTTGCCTGGGGCCTTTGTCCATGCCAATATCTTTGCCAGGAATGCTCTTCTCTCTGCTCTTTGTCAGGCTAATTTCTCTCCTGTCCTTCATTTCTTCCCCTATATGTCACTTCCCCAGAGAAATTCCCTGACTCCCAGAGTAAAGTCAAAACCCCATGATCTCGCTTTGCCTGCATTGTACTTACAACTTGTAATTATCAGTATTTTTGAATTTGTTAATTGCTGTTTTCCTTAATATATTCTAAACACCCTAGGTCAGGAGCTCTCCCTAGGGCAAGCTGGCTTCCCATGATGGATGTTGATGAAAGAAATTAAGTGAGAATAACAAAAATGAATGAACGAACAAATAAACAATCCCAGCAGTACACACATAACATATCCTGCTACTTTTTGATAAATTTGATGTATAAGATTTGGAAGACCACACGGGTTCCGAAGAGTCTTGGCAGCAGTTTAGGTGCCAGTGAGGGAATTCAATTCATTTGTTACCAATATTTGATAGTAAAATATTTGACACTTTATATCTATAATAAAAAATGCAGGCCGGGCACAGCGGCTCATGCCTGTAATCCCAGCACTTTGGGAGGCCGAAGTGTGCGGATCACCTGAGGTCAGGGGTTCGAGACCAGTCTGGCCAACATGGCGAAACCCTGTCTCTGCTAAAATTAGCCAGGCATGGTGGTGCATGCCTGTAGTCTCAAATATGTGGGAGGCTGAGGCAGGAGAATCACTTGAACCCAGGAGGCGGAGGTTGCAGTGAGCTGAGATTGAGCCATTGTACTCCAGCCTGGGCGACAGAGCGAGACTCCGTCTCAAAAGAAAAAAAAAAAAAACAAGAAAACTGCAGAAATCTCTTTGCCACTACAAGTTCAATTTAGTTGAAATTAGACATATGTGTGTTTATTTCTGTATCTCATTTAAAACAACTTTGAAAGCTTTGGTTTTGGTATACAGGAATTGCTTTAATTGCTGGTCATTTCTTTGAGAAGACTAAGAAGAAAGAATTTTAAGGAAGAGGTAATGGAGAGCAGAGATATTTTTGCAACAAGCCTTATAAAGATAAAAGAAACATGCAGAAAAACATTGAATTGCGCAATTGCATTGTCCAAAAAGAAAGAAAGATTTGGTAAGAGGGGCGATGGCGATGTTAGTGGTTGACGAGGATACAGGAGAAGATATCTCAGAATTATACAAAAAGTATAGAACATTTGCAGGGAGGAAGGAGGAAAAAAATATTTTGTTTTCATAAATTATAACCTATTATAAATTCCTGCCTTAAGGAAGGAAGATCCTGGGAAATCTCCAGCAAGTCTTGTCTGGTCAGGAACTCTATGTGAGGTTGTACACGCTATGTCCTGTATGAAAATGTTCAGTTAAGGTGGTGGGAGGGAACTCCAGTCCAGGTCCTGCTCACTAAGCCCTGGAGGAAGGGTGTCTTATTCTCAAGAACACAAAGTTCCCATGGGTGCCAGCAGAGGTCCTTGGCTATGGTCAATGGAAAACAATATTACAGCATGTTATTACTAATTTCAAATGTTTCTTTACAGAGCCATCTTTATTATTTTTAAATTTAAAAATAACACTATTTTTTTTCCTCCATAGATTTCAGGTTCTTGGGAGGTATTGAGGAGTTAACTCCTGAGGTTGGGGAAAATGACCCTTGATCTGCCCTTTCCTTTTATTTGAGAGACTGTCAAATTATGTAATAATAAACTTTTGTTAATGTCCTTAAAACAGGATTGACTATAAAAGACAATTCAAGATATGCCAGATACATTTGGGTTTCATCCAAAAAAGTTTAGTTCCTGCACCAGTTCCTTTGTCCTTTGTAAGATGGCCTCACCCTTAAAGGATTTCATAACAAAGTTGAAAACCGAGTTATACTGAAGCATGGCTATAGTATCTGCTTGATTTAGAGCAGATTCTATTTACAGGGAGTCAGAAACTATATTATAGACCATCGTGATAATAGTTTCTCCTTGTTCCATACATGTTTATATTACTGTTGAATTATATGTTTTTTAAAGACATATTGGATGAATCATCATTACAGCTAACATATATTGATAAATTAATAGATGCCTGGCACTGAGCTAAGTGATAATTTTTATATGAAGCAAAGGTACGCTTCTTTACTGTTGATGCAGGAATGTTAAATACTCTGAAAGGTAGGGATAATTTTAAAAAGTTGAGGTATTCGAGAAGCATAATTCCTGTGCATAGAACCTTGGGATGACAGACCTTCAGAATTAATTTTTTAAAATAATACATAGATTGGGCACAATGTGGTCATGCTTATTGCTCTAGACTTAAAATTGATTAAATATTATATAAGGTTGGTGTTATGCTTCATGTAAAATTATGTTCTTTAGAAAATATATTGCACAATCTGGCATATCATCTGTGGTCCTATAAAAACTGATACATTTTTCAAAAGGTGGTGTAAAAGGGAAGGATTTAATTGCAGCTGTTACTTAAATGTTTATATGCACAAACACAGATAGGGTTACACAGATACTTCTCACCATTCCATCACCTACTGATGTATAATAAACTACTACAAAATTTAGTGACCTAAAGCAACAGCCATTTTATTGCATTTCATTCCTCTGTGGGTCAGAAATCTGAGCAGGGCTTTGCTGGGTAGTCCCTTTATTCCAAGTAGGGTCGACGGAGGTCACTGAAAGGGATTCAGATGGTGGATGGGTTGGTCTGGAGGATTCAATTAAAACAAAACAAAACAGTGGAATCCAACAGGGAATACTGGAAGGTAGGGCTCAGCTGGTACCATGACCAGAGGATGACCAGAGGCCACACACAAGTGGCCTTTCTAGTATGGCAGTCTCAAGTTAGCTGAACTTTTTACATGGCAGCATGGGGCTAGCAGAGAGAATATTCCAAGAGACCCCAGTGGAAAATGCACGGTTCCTTATGGCTCAACTTAGAAAATCCTAGACTATCACTTCTTCCATATTCTATAGTTAAGTAAGCCACTGAGGCCAACTCCTTCAAGAGTAAGGAACAAGAGTACTTCTCAATGGGAAGAGAGCAAAGAACATGTGGCCAACTTTAATCTACATACACCTAGACCAACCGATGGAGCGCCTGGGACTCAACAACTATTCTTAGACTTTCTACATCAACAATCTTGGAACACTTAAGGCTGGATGGACAATATTTACTTCTGCAATGTGTTCTGGTCTTCTACCAATGGAAAATCAAATTCCCAGCTTTGAGCAGTTGGATTCCTGTGGTATGTGGCTGCCCCACATCTTCTTCTGCTAAGCCATTATAACCAAAAAGTCTTTTTTTTTTGGCGGGGGGTTGGGGGGATGGAGTCTCATTCTGTCACCCAGGCTGGAGTGCAGTGGCCCGATCTCAGCTCACTGCAACCTCCACCTCCCAGGTTGAAGCGATTCTCGGGCGTCAGCCTCCCAAGTAGCTGGGATTACAGGCGCCCGCCACAAAGCCAGGCTAATTTTTGTATTTTTTTGTGGAGATGGGGTTTCATCAGATGTTGGCCAGGCTGGTCTTGAACTTCTGACCTCAGGTGATCTGCCTGCCTCGGCCTCCCAAAGTGCTGGGATTACAGGCGTGAGCCACTGCACCCGGCCCCAAAAGTCTTTTTGTGCATCCCGTGTCTATTTCTTATTAGCTTCAGAGCTTTTCCTAGTCATAGGATCACACAAGGTCAGAGCTGGAAGGGATTCCAGAGATCTGGTCTCATTTTACAGACGAGGAAGTTTAGGTTCATGTGACCTACTTAAAGTCAGAAACTGATTAGTGACAGAGCCACAGCCTCGATGTCTTGTTGCAATGCATGAAGAGCTTAGGTAATCCTGATTTATCCATGGAATAGGCAGACAGTTTACCTGATTCTTCCCTTAGAAACAGTCCATCTAACATGATTTGGCTTCCTACTTCTTCATGAAACATTTAAAAAGAAACTATTCATTCCAAGTTCAACAGTTTAATCTTCAAATATCTAGCTCGTTTTTCTCGGTCCATATTTAACAAATGTTTACTGAGCACCCACCAAGCTGACAGCACTATAAATACAGACACACTTTGAGACGCGGGCTGCCTGCAAAGAGGCTTCCCTTCTAGTTAGAAAGTCAGAATACACATTTTACAACAGTCACTTTCCTCTGGGTCACGTTATTTGATAATGCTACCTTATCTTGAAGTACTTCTACAGGCTGGGTGCGGTGGCTCACGCCTGTAATCCCAGCTACTCGGGAAGCTGAGGCAGGAAAATCGCTTGAAACCAGGAGGCGGAGGTTGCAGTGAGCCGAAATCGCGCCTCTGCACTCCAGCCTGGGCAACAGAGGGAGACTCTGTCTCAAAAAGGAAGAAAGAAGAAGAAAAAAGTACTTCTATAACACAGTTCTCCCTCCTTGTTTCATTTGCAGAAGAGACCAAAGGGCCAAGGCTTCTTCCCTTAGAAACAGCCATATGTTCTACGATTCCGAGATTTTTGCCTATCCAGGGCACCAGTTTGGAGTGGGTGTAAGGTTACCCACAAATCAATGTGATCGTCCAGTTGTTACTGTTCCTTTTGTTTCACGAGACGTTCGCTCATTAGATGAGGTGACTGATAGCTCTGACTTTTTTAAGACCACACGCACTCTAGGTGGCTGCCCTAAGTACAGTCGCGGCAGCTGGGATTTCCTGTTTATATGGTGCCCAGCACCATCAGCTTTTGTCTTCTGCTGCAGCTAAAGTGTCTTCCTCCTGGACCAGGGAGAGGGGGAGGGGGTGCGGACAGGACCCGCCTGCTGACGGTGACACCTCCTCGACATCATGTCCACTCCAGTCCTCAGCTCCCGGAGCTGCGCGGGATCCCTCTTCCCGCTCAGCTGGGAGATGCCCCGGGAGGGCGTCCCCCGGCTCCGGGCTGCGAGGGTAGCAGCCGACCCCGATCCACTCCGGGGATAGCCCGGGGCCGCGTGAAGGCAGGTGTTCCGGGGAGAAACGAGGAAGTAAGGCGCGGTCAGGGGCCGGCGGCGCTCGGCTGGGGGCCGCAGTTGGCTCCCCCGGGAACTCTGGGCAGGCGGCCTCTCCCGCTTGTGGGGAGGAGAAGGAGCCGGATGGGCGGGTTCAGGCGCGCGCGGCGGCGGTCCCGGGGCCGCCAGCTCCTCCCCGCGAGGGTGCCTGTCCGCCGCTCGCCGCGCTGAGGCAGTGCGGGGCGGGCGCGCCTAGGCTGCCGCCCAGCGCCCTCACCGCGGCCATGCCCGGGCCGTAGAGCGCCTGCCGCAGCCCGCGCCCCGCAGCCCCGCAGCCTCGCGCCCGCCGCCGCCTCTTCAATGGGCAACCTGCTCGGCGGGGTCAGCTTCCGCGAGCCCACCACCGTGGAGGACTGCGACTCCACCTGGCAGACCGACTCGGAGCCCGAGCCCGAGGAGCCAGGGCCGGGCGGCGGCAGCGAGGGCCCGGGGCAGGAGCCCGAGCAGCCCGCGCAGCCCCCGGAGCGAGCCGGCGGGCGGTCCCACTCCAGCCCCGCGCCGGACGAGGACGCCGAGGCGGCGGGCGCCGAGCAGGTACGCGGCCCAGCGGTGGCTTCGGGTCGGGCCAGGGCGCCCCGGCGCCCCAGAGGGGCAAGTGCCAAACCGCCCTCGCGCGGGGAGGGCAGGGGCGCCAGGTGGCTGCTCGCCCCTGCGACCCGATCCCTCTGCGCCGCGGCTGACCTGTCTCCCAGTGGAGCCCGGGGGCCTGCAGGAGCCCAAAGCGCCGAACCCTCCCACTGCCGGCCTGGGGCCTGGCCGAGGGCACGGTTCAAGGCAGAACCCAACTTGAATGGGTGTTTTCTTTGCCTCTGCAGCGCAGCTGGGTTATGCGAAGGTGGGGTGGGAGGAACCTGTCTAAAAATAGAGGTTTGTGACAACCCCTCTAGTCCGTGTTATTGGCAACAACAACAACAACAGAATTACTCAGAATAAGGTGGGGCTACAAGTGCAGGCAGCCAGCGCTCTCCCCTACAGTGGGGTCTAAACCGTCGTAAGTGTAGGCCCCCATCTGAAGTTCATACGTCACTGTTCTGCCCAACTCAGGCCTTTCAACCTAGGATTCAGGGTATTCTTCACGAATCTCATTTCACCAGAAGACTTGTTGATCCAACTGTGTTTGAACCGTTTGACTAATACAGCTTGGAGGAGAGGTTAGGCAAGAGATACGTAACCCCCTTAACCTCTGATGCACTGAAAATAATCAGGAACTTTAAAAAGGAGGAAATATGTAGTCGGCTCCCTGAAAAAGTGTGCATCCTAGAGGTGGTTCAGGTTTGAGCTCCGCATTAGGCCCTTCTCTTTATCAGCTAGGGGCGATGGAGATTGGGAAAACGGAGCCCAAAGTCCAATGTGACCACAGGGTTTTGGGGGAATCATAACCTAAATATTACAGCTAACACTGCCTCAACCATCTTGATGATCAACTCTATTTAGGTGAGAAGGAAATCATAAAGTCTTAGTGTAGGCTCTGTGCTAAACGTGTTATTTAAGTGACCTACAATTTTGGGGTGGGGGTTTGCTGTGTGGTCTCCATTTTAGAGAATACTGAGGCTTAGAGAGAAAGGAAAACTTGCCCAAGATCATTGAAGGAGAGGATGATGCAAACCCAAGTCTGTCTATCACTGATACCAGCGCCTTGGACCTGTGGAATTCTGAATTTCCATCTGCCCCTGTGTCTGGTTTGCTGCTGTTGTTTTGCATTGCTAATTCAATCTTATTAAATTATTAGATGCTGCATTCTCATGTTTTTCCCTTCCGTTTGTCTCCCAATTAAGTAACCTCCTACAGAAATTTGGAATATCAAAAAATACCAGCTAAGATTCAAGCCAACTTACCAGGTCCATCTATATAAAACATTTTAATAATGTTCAGTCAGTTAGTCACAACCCCAGTAACTAGTAGACTACACCAGCCCTCCCTATTCCCTTTTAATGATTAATTTTTCTTGTTAGTATCACCATCTGACTTCCCCAAAAAATCTGCTTTTCAATTTTGCCTTTTGACTGACAACCCTGTTTGTTGTCTGTTTCTCAGAGCCAATCCACTTGCAGGTAATACTGGAGCTACTTTTAAAGCGTATCCCAGACTGACTCCTTCACACCACTTCCATTGCATTGTCCTAGTCCCTCTGAATATTGGACAAATGATGGTGACATTAACCATGACAGGGAAGTCTAGGGAGAATGCAGCTGTGGAGGTTAAATCAAAGATTCTCTTGAGTTTCATATCCTATTAGACATCGAAGTAGAGTTGTTGGGTAGTTAATTATTTGTTGGGTAGTTAAATTACATCTATGAATGGAGACTTAGTCCAGGACTAGAGTCCTCAGCATCTGAGATCAATGATATTTAAAGGCATAGGAAGATAAGGGGTTATCAAGGAGTGATGACGAATGAGGACCGTAGGCACTCCTCCATTTAGAGGGTGTGAAGAGGAGGAGGAGCCAAAAAAGAAGGCTGACAAGGGGTGCCCAATGAGATAGAAAGTAAACTAAGAAAGTGTAGTATCCTTTAAGCCAAATACTGACAGTTTCAGGAAGGAGGGATGCTTTAATTGGCCCAGTACTGTTGGGAAGTCACCTGAGGTGAACATTAAGAAATGGTTTGGCAAGATGGAGATTTATTGGTGAAGTTCACAAGAACTATTTTTTTGGAGTGGTGAGGACAAAAGCCTGATTGAGGTGGGTCAGGGGAAAATGGGGAAAGAAGAGAAGGAGACAGAAAGTATGGGCAATTCTTTGGTGGTGATCTACTATAAAAAAGGAGTAGATATATGGATCTGTAATTGATGGTAGGCTTGGGTCAAGGATGTTTTGTATATTTATTATTTTAATATTAAAGATATTGCAGCATGTTTGTTTGAGATCCAGAAGAGAGGGAAATTTTGATGATCCAGGAAAGAGGAACAATATTGAACAACAGAATCCTTGTCTGAGCAGGTGAAAGGGGTCTGGGTAGAGTCCAAAGGGAATAGGGGTTGGAAGAGCAGGAGCAGATGCTGGCAGGACACAGTCATTCTTATGATAATCCTGAGAAATAGGTAGGGCATGAGTCATTATCTTTATTTCAGAGATGATAAAACTAAGATTCAGCTAAATGATTTGCTGAAGGCCTCACAAATACCAAGTAGCAGCGTTAAGATTCCTAGTCTTCTGACTCTAAGTCTTGGGCTACTGATACTACACCAAGGTTTCCATATATCCTTCATTTTTTAGTGTGACTGAGATTGATTCAGACCTGGACTTGAACCCAGAGCCTGGGATTCTTGTTCTTGCACTGTCACTGGACTCTGGATGGTGTGCAACTTGTCTAAGCTCCTGATACCTTGTTTCTAAGATGGAAATACTAATTAACTGTCAGTCAGGTGTGTTTTAAGAATCAAATGAAATAATGCCTTTTGACTGTCAACCCTGTTTGTTGTCTATTCCACTATATATGTAAGTGCTTTGTAAATGGAGAGTGCTTTCTATACAAATGTAGGATGATGATTCATATGGTTGTAGCTCAGGCTAAATAGATTCAGAAACTTGCTAGGCAGAGCTATTTTGAAACTTGTGGCAAGGACCAGAATTGAAGCTTTTTCTTGATTATGTAACATGACAGAGTAACTAATGTTAAGCATCCGAAGATTTGGTGTTGAAGTAACTCGGTACTTGTAGTAATAGTGAGAATCACGCTTCTTCAAAAATGTGTGAAAATTACTTAGATGATGCCAATCTGTCAACACAGATGGAGGACAGGGGTTGAGGAGAAAAGAATTTGGGGCAAAGCTTTTAATGACTCTTAAAGGTCTAAAGTTTTTCTTTTTCATCATTGTCATCAGCACTTTCTCCTACATTATAATAGTACATATAGGGAATGCAAATCGATTATATTAACCCACATCTTATACTTTAAAAATCAGTTCATGGTGATAGGAATTTTGCTTAGAGTTTAAATAGTATGAGTAAACTTCTACATATAAGTTATTTCAATCGGACATCATTCCATTTAAGAGCATTTTATTGCTTTGTGTGCATATATTTTAAATGTTTATATCACATTGTATTATTCAGTGAATAGATGATTATTCATGCCTTTGTGTACCTGTCATGGTGTTATAAAGGATGGAGTTTAGAAAGATAGTTTGTTTTAAAATCTTTTCTTTTCATAAATATTACTTGACTTCTAAATACAGCTAAATGTTGCAAATTTAATGAAAATTTTCTTTGCAGAATTGATTTAGTATCTTAACATATTCTTAGTATTATGTAAAATATTCTGAAGTAAGTTTTATCATAGAATCACTTGCATAATCATCTAGTAAATAAATGTATTGAATTCCTTTTTGAGTTCTATTTCTGATGGATATTGATCCATAACATTGGCCTCTTTCGGTTTTTGGTTAATAATAAAGTGTTTTTTTCAGTAATATATCTTAGGACAAATATTATTGGTTCAAATAAGAAAAACAGGACGCTAAGAAATATTGCTAGTAAGCGTTATTAAAGGAACATTTATAATATTTTCATTAATCTGAACAGATTGACAATTTTCAGGGTTTCTTTATGGCTCTTCCTTATAAGTTTGTTCTGGAAATTTCTTTGTGAAATTATCTTGCGTCAACATGTAAACAGAGTTTCACTTTTTATTTCAGGGTGGTGATTCCACTGAAGCAACTGCCAAACCAAAGAGAAGTTTTTATGCTGCGAGGGATTTGTACAAGTACCGACACCAGTACCCAGTAAGAGTATAGAATGTTATGTTCTCAAATGTAAACTATTTTCCTTCTGTTTTTAAATTTTTATGGTGCCACTGAGAAAACATGCATGAAGGGTCCTTGTACCTTTTCTGTATTTCTATGTGCTGGAGATTGATTTATTTTTTCCTTTAGCAGAACTTCAAAGATATCCGATATCAAAATGACTTGAGCAATCTTCGTTTTTATAAGAATAAAATTCCATTCAAGCCAGATGGTGAGTAACGTACTACTTGATAAATTGCACTTTAAACAATCACATACTCTTGGTTATTCTTTGTTTATTTTGTGGTTTGTTTCATTGATTGGATTTACTTTGCTATGCAGTCTAATGTGTCCCCCACATCCTAGACCATAGGTTTGTGAGCATGCACTTGGTAAATTCTGGAGGAAGAGCTATGGATTAATGGTATCTTCCTTTTTTACATCACTATTATCTGAAAGATAGTAGGGACAATTTTTGTGAGAGGAAGAGAGAGGAGATGTATAGAACCACAGAATTTTAGGTTATTAAGGAACAGTAGAGAAGATCAAATACAGCTTTCTGATGTCAAAGATTAGGTCACTAGGACTTAAAGCTTAGGTCACTCAATTGCAGGTTCTAGAGTCCACTGTTCTTTCCATTGTACCATAGCTGAAAATTATTTAGCATGTGATTGAAAAGTGCTGTTTGTATTTAGAATTATCTTTCCTGTCAGTTTTCAGATTCAGGTATCAGGAATCTACAGCAATTCCTGTTTGGAGTTCCAATATTCTGGGAAGGGAACTGCAGATACAGTAGATCTCCATCCAACCCTGCCAAATACACTTGTGTCCTTCCCAACTCTGCAATTGCTCTCCTAGGATATTTTCCAAACCCATAGTGAGAAGATGCAGCTGCTATGGTAATATGACCACAACATTGCATATTTCATTGAGGCATCATGCTGTGGTTCATGGTGGTCATCCTAATTTTATCTAGGTCACCCTAGCAAAGCTGGCTTCTCTCCCAAGAGCCCTTTTCTGTGTGAGGTGGTCAGACTGCCCTGGCTTCTGCTATTTGCTCTCAGTGGAAACTGAGCCAGTTCCACAGCAAATACTGTGAGTCATGGAATGAAGGTGATAGATTGCAAGGCTTTCAAGTGGCAGGACCTTGCATTCTTTGGTGAACTAACTCGAGGCAAGAGGTCTAAAGCCTGGATGGAGTTTGGGAGGAGGGAGTCCCAGTATTGTATACCGACAGACTTGCCAGTGTGAGTTAATATTTGAGAACATTGTTGACATGGCCAGATCTACTTGTCTTTAGCTTTCTGGTATCCCAAAAGTCTGCTGTGATGTAGAAGGAAACCTCTGGATAAAATTGCACAGTTATATTTACTAATGATAGAAATGTGCTGCTTTATTTACTAATGGAAAAATATTGGCTAAATTATTCATTTTGTTAGGACTTGGGGTAGAAAAATCTTTTGAAGAAATGCAATGATAGATTGTTAATTTGAGTCTGATTTGAATTTCATACAATTTTCCTAAAGGAATGCCTTCACGTATTAAAAATATTGAACATAAAGCTATGATAGTACTTAACTCTATTTTTTTCTACTAAGGAATTTATTTTGTAAATATTAATTTAAAAAGTAATTTCAAGCAATATATTGAATTTTTGTTCATCTTTATTACAAAGTTTATTTTGAAATCTTATGATTGGTGGGGGTCAGAAGTTTTAGCTAAAGTCACATAAAATGTTATCCTAGTTTATTATATAAATTATATTAACTCACTTTCCTCCCTAGTATACACACCCATGCACATATGCACACACACACACTACTTGCCAGTAAGCATAATCTTGCAATAGTATGTTTCACTTATCAGGCAGGAGGAGTGGTAATTGGAAAGGAAAACAAATGGAAAATTACAGAGGTAAATGGTTTCAACATGCCAATAAAGCCAACAATATGATTCAAAGCAACTTTTTACCAAGCCTTCCGAGAATGGGCCTCTACTGTAAACTGGTGATCTCTGGAGGAAACAAGAATGAGATGAGTTATGTTTGGAGAAATATTATATTGCTGTGGGGTTTTTTTCCTGCAAGACTGACTGAATGGCTAGTCAATTGTAAGGACCTTGACAGACATAGGAACCAGGAGGATTTTGTTTTTGTGAGTTCTTGTAGGGGAAAAATGGTTGGGGTAAAAAGGGCTTACTTGTTGGAACCAGAAAGATCTATGTTGCACTCCAAGATTTACTTTTTTTACTAGTGTGTAACTTTGAACAACTCGTCCAGTTTCTTCATTATTAAAATGAGGATCATAACACTGGGAGCGTTCTGTAAAGACTAAGCTAGATAATGTGCACTCTATGTAATATGGGCACAGCATTGGGTAAGCACTTACAACTTTTTCCTACATTTTTCTTTTCTCCCTTTCCTTCCCCTTTGTTTTCTCCTTCTCATTTCTTTTCTTCCCTTTCTACTCCCCTTTCTTTCTTTTTCCCTAGGATGCATTTCATTTTGAACCAATCTAGTATTTAAAGAACTGTATAACTCCTAGGGCAGGGATTGGCAAACTTTTTCTGTACAGGGGTAAAGAGTTAATATTTTAGGCTTTGGGGGACAGTGGGTCTGTATTGCAACTACACAGCTCTACTATTGTAGTACAAAAACCACCATAGACAGTACATAAATGAATGTGCATGGCTATATTCCATTAAAAGTTTACTTACAAAACAGCTGGCAGGCCACAGTTTGCCCAGCTCTGCTTTAGAGTACATTGCCCAACAAAACCTTCTGCAATTTGAGGTGCTATTTTTTTTAAAATTAGATTTATCACATAACTGAATATATGGGCATAGGGTATTCATCTTTTTAAAAGCATTATTCTTGTGTGCCATTATTAAATTTAAACAAGTTTTAATATAAAACTCAAGTGATTCGAGTCTTAAAATGCCTTCACAATGTTTTAAATGTCTGATTCATTTTTAAATATTCACTATTTAGGTGTTTACATTGAAGAAGTTCTAAATAAATGGAAAGGAGATTATGAAAAACTGGAGCACAACCACACTTACATTCAATGGTCAGTTACATACTATCTATCTTGAACCATGTCCTATTTAATCATGTATGTTTCCCAGACAATGTTCATAGAAAAATTTTATTTTTTTAAACAATAGGCTTTTCCCCCTGAGAGAACAAGGCTTGAACTTCTATGCTAAAGAACTAACTACGTATGAAATTGAGGTAATGCAAACTCATTTCATTTTATACAGGGTGGCCAAATAATATTGCTATTTGACTGTCCTTGTAGCTCCTGAATCATTTCAGTTGACTTTTTTCACTTTTTATATTAGGAATTCAAAAAAACAAAAGAAGCGATTAGAAGATTCCTCCTGGCTTATAAAATGATGCTAGAATTTTTTGGAATAAAACTGACTGATAAAACTGGAAATGTTGCTCGGGCTGTTAACTGGCAGGAAAGATTTCAGCACCTGAATGAGTAAGTAAAGCCCCTGTGATAAATCAGGGGACAGCATAGTTATTTTCCCTTGGTCAGAGTTCTCTGTGAAACAGAGAAACAACAGCAGATGAGATGGGACCAGGAATTTGGATTCAAAAGCTAGTCTGAAATGCATTACATTCCTGTATCATATTCTAAAACAGAACAAAACAACAACAAAAAGGAACAAAATTCTAGGTAGAAACACAGTTATTCAGCTTCAGATCTGTTTCTCCCTGAAACCTTCCTATTGCCCACAGCCAAATGTTGCCTTTCCCCTCCTCCGTATGCCACATTTCTCGGAGTTTATTGTTACTGCTCGTGTACAATTCTGTGTATCCCTTCTTGTAGGCTGTAAGCTTCTTGGGGCATAATCTGTTTCTAAGCATGATGCCTTCTTAAATTCATGAATTAAGCCTATGATGGATAAAAATCATTTTATAAGAATGAGATGGGTCCATACTTTTTACTAAAACAGAGAGAAAATTACACTTGTCTTCACTATTAAGGTAAAAAACAAAACCTCATTTTTGGGTAATAAGTCCCAAAACTTATGAAGAACATTTTAACATAGTTTATTTGGAATTGTTTTGCTGTATTCATTTGGTTGGATGTTTATAACTTTTGTTAATACTCATAACCAAAGTGTATTTTTCTTAATATTTCTTCATATGCAAACTTTTTTCTTTTTTAATTATAGTTTAATTTTAACAAATTATAGTTACATTTAAACTAATCATAGTTGAATTATTTATGAATGCTGGCCTATACAGCCACCAGCTTTAAAGTACTTCTAAGCATATTATAATTAGCTAAACTGAGCAAGTACTAAGAGCAAAAAAGTTAAAACTAACCTAAGCAATTTTCCTTTGGCCACAGCAGTCTGAGTTTTGTGCACCAGTTAACTATTTTTTGTGTGTTTTTATAGAACTTTCATCTTGCTTTGGTAAGATGGGTATAAATATTAATGTTAAGCCTTCTTTTTACTTTATTACTTATAATCAATGATATTAAAATGGTAGTTTGTACTAAAACACTAAAGATATGGACATAAAGCTTTATGTTCCTGACTAGAAGACCCATTAACTTATAACTGAAGTTAAATTTGACTTATATAGGGCACTTAAAGCATAAGTATATATACCTGTAGCTAAGCAATGCAGGTGGCTAGCTCTGGACAAAGTTTCTAAATACTTATGTTACACTGTGAAAGAACTACATGCAAGCAGCCTATTGACATGAAAGACAGCAAAAGTAAAAGTAAATCTTTTGAAAGGATTTGATAATACCTCATTTTTCATGTACATAACGACTACCATTTTAGAGACTCACCTCAAACTTGTTATTTTTGGTTGGAATAGCAATCTTGCTTAGTCAATTTTTATTGAATGAATAAATGATGAATAAAATATGGTCTTCAGCTTAAATCCTCCTTGGAGTTTTGTTGTCATATCCTCTGATTTATACGTGGAAACAGAGTCTCTTTTTAAGGCTTTAATTAAACAATTTCCAGGGTTGAGGCAGGGGAAGGGAGCCTGAGCTAAGTCACTTCTCACTCCTGTGCCCCATCCTTTCTTTCTGCCACCTATTGTCAGCATAGAGCTTTTCAAGCTGTGAATTAACTGAGAATCTGCCAGAAAACATGCTGTTTCTTCTCTAGTTTAGTTGCAAAACATCTTTACTGACTAGATTTGAACAAATGATAGAGGATTCTATGAAAACGTCTATTCTATTTTCTTCTTCAATTGGGTCCTTTTCTGACTTATTGTTAAATGTCATAACTTATTTGTATTTTAATGTGTATAGCATCTTGAGTAGAGTAGGCAGGGAACTCAATATATTTATAGTAGCTAAGCAGAGGAAAATATTGAATCAAGGTGAAATGAAATAACATTGAGTGAACAACTGACCTTAAAAGAGGCAAAATATTTTCAAACATGAGAGTACAAATATATGGACCAACCACTAGACTGTGTTTTCAATTTTGTTTGTAATCAACTTGGATTACTGAGTCATATTTAGACTCTGGGGTGCCTTTTAACTTTTATTTTCTGTTTCCTAGTTCTCACCTTGTATGTCTTCTCTCTTTACCTCCCTAGTCTTTCTGCAATTTCAACACTATTTGCTACCCTTAACCTCTGTCTGGAACCTCAGCTTCTTTCTTTTGCCTATTGTGTAATCCTAAGATGGTTTATACACTATAAGGATTTTAGCCAGTCTCTTCTATACCATTTAGTCTTTCACTATGACATTTATTACAAGTCATACTGAAACACCCAACTGCTATATTTTGTAGTTTTGTTCTAGGATCCTCATCATTTTTTAACCCAAGTTTTTGTCCGTTTATACTTTTATATAAATATTTTTAATTGGAGAATATATAGATATAGTAAATGTGTACAGAAATTTTAACTTCAGCATTTATCTAGGATTGGCTATATAAAATTGAGCTGGTTGCAAATATAGTAAATTTTCTTTAGTCATAGAGTTCCTCTTTTTTAAAAAACAAATTCTTCCAACTTTCTATACATCTTTTTCTCGCAGACATATGAAGCAGAATTGCCCAAGGTTTTGTCACTAAGTATTTAGAGTATGCAAACTCCACAGGAATGTAACAACTAAGTTGCTCCTGCTGTTAGTGACACATTGTCTTAACTGTACCCAAATTTGTATTGTCTCAAGTGTGTTACTTCCTATTTAAAAATACAGATGTATAAAACTGAGACATCTGTGCTGCATTTTACCCTCTGGGCTTCAGAGTTGAATGTTAAGACAATAATTTTTTAGTAAACATCCAGAAAGATGAAGATGATCAACTGTTGGGCTGAGCTTTTCCAGTGTTTGGTTAGTCTGAAACATTAAGGTTTTTGTTTCGTGCAAAGAAATGTTCTCATTGAAACATAAGGCCATGGAACCATACCCTGCCATCCCTTAATTCATCAACATCTTTATCCCTGCTTCCCAAGTAATTTGCTAATTATTTCAAAATAAAATCTTTAAGCATTTTTGGAAGCTAGGACAGGTATATATAATGTTTGCAGAAAGTTCCGTGTATGAGGTATAAAACAGGCTTTAGGAAGTTAGAAATAAGTGATGGCTATGGTTATGTGGCAATATTGGGTAAATAAATACCTGGGCTGTTGACAACACCTATGATTAATACATGTGGTTGATGATTCTTTTAGAATTTGACAAGGCATGTGTAATAAAGCAAAGATTGAGCTGAGTGAGTTTGGGGAGTTACATTATGAATTGTGACAAAATAGATTTGGCAAACATTCATCCAGTAATGGCATTAGTTTTGTGATAGAGAGGAAAGATGTTAGTGTAATCTGGGGGAAAATGTACCCTTGGAATCAAGGCCATTAGAAATAAGATTTAAAATCATCAGATAGGGAAAGAGGAGGAGAGACTGACCAGAGATTGAAGAAAATTAGGTTAAGTTGGGATAGGTACAAATATTGTGGTCCTTAATCTCATATCTTTAAATTATAATACTAATAGTTTTAAATAGTATCTAGTACTTACTGAGTTCTATGTACCCAGCATGTGTATCATCTCATTTGATTCTTACAACAGTCCAGTAAGTAGTGGGCACTTTTCCCCATTTTACAGATAAGGATATTGAGACATAGAGAAACATAGTTGCACTTAGCTGGTAAGTTACAGAGCCAGGGTGTGAACTCAGGTCTGACTCCAAAGCCCATGCTCTTAACTGTTAAACTGTGCTCTGCTAAATAAGTCAGTTTTGTATCCTTTGTCAGAACTGTTCTAGCAAAGCAGAGTGGTTTTTGCCACCATCCTTACGAGTTGGCTTATGTGGTGGATTTTGCTGATCAGCTGGCACTATAAATTGCACCAGTCAGCTGTTAGCTAATGTGTTTATGTTTAGCAACGGTTACCTGTGATGAGTACAGTACATTGATGTTGGTGCAAATAAATGTTAGAAAATTCATCTTCAGTGTATTTTCAGTAATAAACAATTCAACAGTGGTAATACATTTAAATCTAAATATTTTTCTAATGTGAAGAACTCAACAGACAAGGGAAGTTTATTTTATAAATTTGACTTTCACATAGATTGACATTACATTGTGGCCTAAGGATTTAATACCCGCTGGATTATTCTTAATGGTATCAAATATAGCGTTAAAAAGTCATTACACGGCATATTTCCACGGCTTACATTTCCATAAAAAATATTTTCCCAATAGTTTTCATTCTCCTGCCTTCCTGCACCTGATTTCCCCCACTCATTTTGTTCAATCCTGTCTTCCAGGTCCCAGCACAACTATTTAAGAATCACTCGTATTCTTAAAAGCCTTGGTGAGCTTGGATATGAAAGTTTTAAATCTCCGCTTGTAAAATTTATTCTTCATGAAGCTCTTGTGGAGAATACTATTCCCAATATTAAGCAGAGTGCTCTAGAGTATTTTGTTTATACAATTAGAGACAGAAGAGAAAGGAGAAAGCTCCTGCGGTTCGCCCAGAAACACTACACGCCTTCAGAGAACTTTATCTGGGGACCGCCTCGAAAAGAACAGTCGGAGGGAAGCAAAGCCCAGAAAATGTCTTCCCCTCTCGCCTCCAGTCATAACAGTCAAACTTCTATGCACAAAAAAGCCAAGGACTCCAAAAATTCCTCCTCAGCTGTTCATTTAAATAGCAAAACAGCTGAAGAAAAAAAAGTGGCACCAAAAGAGCCTGTGGAAGAGACAGACAGGCCCAGCCCAGAGCCCAGCAATGAAGCTGCCAAGCCAAGAAATACAGAGAAGGACAGTAATGCTGAGAATGTGAATTCTCAATCCGAGAAAACAGGTACTAATCCCACAGAAAAAAAGGAGAGTGTATCTCCCGAAAATAATGAAGACGGTGAAAATCATAACCAAGACAGTGAAAATCCTGGAAATACAAATTGCCATGATGTTGTACTAGCACAGTGAATTATCAGAAAACCCATAGGCCAGTTTAGGTTAGAGAGGAAAAAACTACTGTATCATTTATCCTAAAGAACAGAGACGAGGTCAATTTCAAATTTTAGCCATCTGTTTGTGATTTCTGTCATAAGCATTTTGTTGTTTGTTTTTTTATTTTGGATGACAATGAAGTGAATAACTAATAAGGAGATTTAAGATAAGACCCCATAAATGAATGTATTCTGCAATGCTTTTAGGATGTGAATTTTCAAATTTTGTGTATAATAATTACTTTGAAAATATTTGCAGAGTATCTAGAAATTACCATGTAGTATTTGGTATGCAAAATACATTCTTTTGAGACATTATAGTCTACATGAAGGAAATAAAGAGGATAATTTCATTGGATTGCTATACCTTTACCTGATTTATGGATTTATTTTACTTTATTTTATTTTATTTTATTTTGAGACGGAGTCTCGCTCTGTTGCCCAGGCTGGAGTGCAGTGGCATGATCTTGGCTCACTGCAACCTCTGCTTCCTGGGTTCAAACGATTCTCTTGCCTCAGCCTCCTAAGTAGCTGGGATTACAGGTATGTGGTACCACGCCCGGCTAATTTTTGTATTTTTAAGTAGAGATGGGGTTTCACCATGTTGGTCAGGCTGGTCTCGAACTCCTGACCTTGTGATCTGCCCGCCTCAGCCTCCACAGGCATGAGCCACCACGCCCGGCTGATTTTTTTTTTTTTTTTTACTGTAAGTGTTTGATCTTTTCCAATGTATTCAGAAACTAATTTGGATTCTTTGATTCCAGTACCTCAACCTCAACGTGTTTATTTGTAGATTCTGGTAAGTGAAATGGATGTCCTTGTGGAACTGTGACCTCCCCAGCTTATCTGTCAGTCCTGCTGTCCTCACCTCCTTGCCTCTTTCCATGCCCTTAAGCCACCATGTTTCTCAGCTAGCATGTGTGTTTCTAGTGTAGTTGGCCCTCCATATTCAGTGGTCCAGCGTCTGTGGATTCAACCAACCGCAGATTGAAAATGTTTGTTGGAAAAAATGGATGGTTACATCTCTACTAAATATGTGCAGTCCTTTTATTTGTCATTATTCCCTAAACAATACAGTATAACAACTATTGACATAGCATTTATATTGTATGTATTAGGTATTGTAAGTAATCTAGAGATGATTTAAAGTATTTTACATAAGGGACATGAGCATTTCTAGATTTTGGTAACTGCAGAGGGTCCTGGAACCAACCCCCTACAGATATCAAGGGACCACTGTGTACATTAGGATGATCTATATTGAAATCTACATGGAACAGAGTGGGACTTCTAATTGTATGACTTCAAGATTTTGCTTTGTTTAAATTAATAACACTGTTTTCAGTATTAAGTGCTTAAAAACACATGTTGATTGAAAAGTTCAAGATAAGAACTTTGCTCTCTGTGGCTGTTCCATATAAATTTGATGGTTGATTCTGAATGTAAATGACTGAATAATTAAAAAATAAGAAATTATTCATTTTTAAAAGGCATGCCTCTTGCACTGTGAACAGGACAGTAGTCCCTTAAACCATGAATATGTCAGTGTTCTGTGGATTATGAAATTAGTAATGTTGTTTAGCCCAAATGTGTCTTTTTAAAAAAGTATAGTTTTGTGCATCTCTAAGTTATCAAACTTCAAAATTGAGAACAAATTTAAAAGTTCATATATGCAACTCTAGTAAGCACTTATTATGTTACATAGCACTGGTTAAGAACAGTTTTGTTTTCTATATTATTACTAATTATTATTATAAATCAAAAGACACTGTGATAAGAACTTCAAAGCATACATACAAATATGGTTAAAGCAATGAATAGATGAAACATTTATACTTTATTTCATTTAGGAATGAATTAACTTTTTTGTTAGGCTTTTAAGAAAAGTTCTATTCATTTTATTCCCCCAGGGAATTTGTAATATGTCCTACTTCATATCACATGTCATCTTCTGTTGCCTCTATTGATCTACATTTTCTGCAATGGATATCTTGAAAATAATCACACTTACAGTATGCCTCTAGAAATATGATTTTACTGCTTTGAAGTTTACATGAAACATGCCAGTTGCTTACCTCTAATTTTTTATATGAATCTCAGTAGCACCTTTGTTGTACGTTCTATTCCAATAAGTATAGTATGGAACACTTTCTCATTTTTAGTTCCCATAATATGCCAGTTTTTGTTTTCCTAGTGTTCTGTGAGTATTAGGATTTGGCAGTCAGCTTTTGCATTTCAATTTCTATTTTACATGCAAGAAAAACATGGACACTCTTATGTGGTGCTTGTAGCTATGTTTCCATAGAGCTCAGTAAATAGTTCTACAGGGTTTAGAGGATGAGAAGCGATTGTCAAATTAGGCTGAATTGTAGAAACACAATTTAATTCAAAATAACTTACCAATTTTATATATATGATAAAGTGTTCAGACCACTTTCTAAATGCATAATATTAAAATACTGTGACCAGATATTATGATATTAATAAAGTTACCAGATACTAAAATCAATGAATATAATCTGAATTACTTAGAAATTATAGTATATTAGAGCCCTTATGAGTAAAAACATTTCATTTAGCAATTTAATTTTTAGAATACTATTCCTACTTAGGGATTTTGATTAGATTGTACCATTAAATTTGAGAATATTTAGTCTCAAGGGGAAAACTTCCTGGCATCCATCTTAAATAGTGGCCTTTTCCCACTATGGTGTTTTTAAATGCATATTCACATAGAATAGTATGTTTCTTACATTTAATCCCTAAATAACTTAGATAATCATTCAGTGGAGAACAAGTAAAAGGATATCATTCCTTTTGGAGAAAAACATTGAGTGTCTAGAATTTTTTCTATTAATGCTTTGTATATTAGTTTTTTAAATAAGATCTATAGATATGTATTTATGTGTGTCTTATATATGAAACAGTTCTCTGGGTTTGACTCCTATGTTTTGTATTTTTTAAAACTACGACATGCTTGCAGAAATTCATTGAGAAGTTGTTACAAAAAATGCAGTGAAGCATGACCAAATAGCTAAAAATATTACTAGATCTTTACAAATCTATAGTCTTTATTGTTGTTGTACTGTGGAGTACAAGGATACTAAATATTGGCTATTGATAAAATACTAACTTGCATTTCATGGCAAATAGATGTTATATCACTTGATTAGTCTAGAACATTTCTAATATTTTGTGCTTTCATATATCAAAGGAGATTATGTGAAACTATTTTGAAATACTGTAAAGTGACATATAGTTATAAGATATATTTCTGTACAGTAGAGAAAGAGTTTATAACATGAGTTTATAATTGTACCATTATACATTTTCATGCTCGATCTCATGAGAAATTCAAAAGATTAATGATAGAGTTGAAAATATGTTTACTTTCTCTAAATCAAGTCTGGTTGTCAACTCAAAAATTATGTTGTATAGTTTTATTTTGAATTTAGGTTTTGGGACTACTTTTTTTCCAGCGTCAATGAGAAAATAAAATCTATAACTCAGGAGTTACTAGAGAAGTTCTAAGTATTTTTTTGCTAAGTATTAAAAATATAAACATATGAAAATGCCATAATGCCTGTCATAGTCATTGTTTCATATTTTGTCATATAAAATTACCTATCCTGCTTCTAGCTTTTATACTTTAATCTGAGTGAAAGTATGATGTGGTGGAAAGGAAAAACAGTACAGTGTTACATCTGAGTTAGTCTTTGAAAAATCAGAGTAGTAAATGAACCTCAACATTGAGTGGTCAAAAATTGGTTTAACCAAGTCAGGGGAGAATATTTGGGTAATTGTTTGAATATTACATTTTCAAGTTTATAATAGAGTTATGGCTGAGTATTCATCCATACTGAGTAATCAAGCATTTTTAAAACTATAATTGAGGCTCTTCTAAAGCTTTGTTTTCTAATCTAAGATATAAAGGATATTCTTGATCTTGCTTGATTGTAACTACATCTACACGTCTTTAATGTCTGTTTGGGGTGAGTGGCGATCCTCTGTTGTAGGAATGTTTTTGAAGATTTCTATTTTGTTTTCCACTTAGGAAATTCCCCTCTCTCATTTGGGGTATATGTGTTGAGTATAAGGTAGACTGTATTTAGACACGCTAGAATCATTAAATGTAGGTGAAGTTGTAGAGAAAAATGGCCTGGGTCAATGTAGGATCTAGAAAATTAGGAGTGTACATTTGCTGGCTTCTCTTTTAGTTTTGTACTGTTTATTACGGGAAAAGATTTGTGTGGGTAATCTCTTGGGTGACAGTGAGTACTAGTTATCCAACCCACCCAGCAGATTGTGTTCAGGGACAGAATGTGTTTTTAGATATCCCTTACTATTGAAATTAATAGTAATATAGCTATAAATACAACTGTCTGGAGGTATCCAGATATGCCTTAACAAATGTAAATGGTATTCATTCAGAAGTTTACATTTTTACTCCATTATAAAATCTCATCATTGGGAACTTTCTAAACCATGAATATCAGTTCTTTTAATGAAATTTAGTTGGTGCTTTATCATTTTGGAGAAGTTGCTGTTTGGGATGATAGCATCGGTTCATAAAGAAGTGTCCTCATCATGATATTCAACAATGTGTTATATTTGACAAAAAGTGTTTAGAGTAAGAAAGACTAACTATACTGTCTGTTACATTTATTTATGCTTTTGGTAGTTTAGCTACATAGCCCAATTTTCATTTTAAACATTCCTTAGTTACTAAAGTAATATTTATGTTTTGCTTCTTCTTAGATGTAGACAGATGCAGAAATAGAATTATATTAGAGAAATTATTAAAAGTTTAATTCCAGTAGGCAGTTGGAGAAATCTGAAACTAATTTGAAAAACTTTTATGTTGTAGTCTCATTAGAATCATGTAAAAAGCACTGTTTTTGCATTTTTCCTAGATTACAGAGAGTGTTCTTTGTCATTTTTTTTTCTTATTCTGTTTTGAAGTTTATTGTTTCAGTTATTTGAGGGAAATAACCTCTTAATATGTTTATTTTCCTGAATTAAAGTTTTCATGTAGAGAATACAATGAAATGTTTTGTGTTATGACCCAAACTGGCTGGAAGTAGAGTTCAGAGAGGGAGAAGGGACAAGAATCAGTGTGGGTGTCTCAGGAAAGTGATGCCAGTGCTGGGCTCCACCCTTCTCCACTGGCAGGATGGGTCCTCAGATTCTGCCCTGGATAATGAGGGTGTTGGGCACTGTGAGCTCTGACTTCTGGGGAAGATGGGCCATCATGGACTCCATACACAATTTTGGTGGATATCAGTTCTCATAAAATACCTGCTATAATTTATTTTGTAGTTATTTAGAAAATTGTGAGCAGTTGGGCACTAGTAAATTGTAGTCATATCTTAACGATCTTGGGAAACATTGAAATATGAGTTTTTTCCGTCACCCTTATTTATTTAATTTAAAAAATGAGGGAAGTTGTTCATTCATAGGTGTATATTAATATAAAATCTTATAAAATGATTCAGAGAAAAGGCAGTAATGGTCACTTACTGTGCTAAAATACCTTTTTTTCTAAAAATATTTAAGCTTTAGGGTTTGTCATAGTTTTACTTTTTAAATTATAGTTTGTGTAACAATTTACATTAACTAGAGAAATTAGATAGATAATAAGTTTTGGTACTAAGAAACATTTACGTTCTGCACTCATTAGTCAAATGAACATTTTTTTCCAGTGCTAACAGATTTTGTTTCATGTGAAGAAAAATAAAACACAAATGAAATAAAAGTCTAGAAACAGCAACAGGAAACTCACTACAGAAATAAAGACATAACCCTTGATAAGTTTGTGTAAGTGCCAGAATTATTGGAAGCAGGTGACGAATGATTAAGAAAAGCTTTATTGTGGGGACATGCTTTAAGAATCAGCTCTGTATTTGTGCCAAGGAGATCAGGTATTGGTGTACAAACAGATCCCATTAATACTCTAATTTGAACCATGAATTCCACCTACTCTGCTTTGAAGCCCTCCAGTAGACTGATAGATGTAATTAAATGATCAGCTCCAAGTTTAATTCCTTTGCCTGTGTGTAGCAACAGTTGGTAATTTTACAAGTTAAATTGATGGACTGGCTGCAGATAAGAGAAAGACTAGTGGTAGGTGGTTTGTGAGTGAAGTAACTCCCACACTGTCAAGAGTTGACAGCGTATTGTGTGGCATTATAATTGTGAGAAACAAATGAGAGCAAAATGTTAGGTTCTTTGACAAGCATTTTCCTCCTGTTTTTAAAAAGGGCTTTAAGTTGTTTCCTAAGTAAGGTAATCTTTCTTTTTTAGTATTATCTAAGAAGAAGGACGGCAGATTATGTCATTTTGGAAACTATTATGTCTCTTGTGTTTTAAATATTTCAGGAAAATGGCTACGATTGTTACATAGACGTGTGTTTTACTTATAAGCTCTGATTCTCCAGTGGCCACTGGGCCTTCTCTGTGCTCTGTATTCAACTGCAGTATGAATTACAGAATGCCATGCATGTTTGTTAGTACCAATACCATGTGTATGTGGTAGAAGTTGTAACCAGTTTCTGGATCTGTATGGTACTATAAAATACTTATTTTATAATTCTGTAACCGTATGGCAGTGTTATGCCAAAAATGTATAAAGAGCAATAGTTTCTGTTGCTTACTGCTGTATTTTAAAATATTGTTTCTAAAATAATAGAGTTAGAGTTCCTTTTGAGTAATTATTTTTAATAACTATTGCCAAATATACATCCTGTAAAACGAATAAAAGCCACTACATCTTAGTTAACATTTTAGCATTGTGCTAGAGTACATTATGGTGATTTTGCACGATTAAAATATTTTTAAAGAACTAGAAAAAGTGACTTGCTGTTTTCCTGTCATTAAACATGTATTTTTTATGATTGACATATAAGACTAACATTATTTTCTTTTATTCTAAAAAATAAATATTGTGAAGGGTGAATCATATGTATATATGAAGTTATTTTTATTGTCAGATTCTACAGAACAGATCACATATATAAATACTTGGATATTGATTGTTATCTCTTTGTGTAATGCAGTTTTAAAAATATTTTTCTTACAGATGAAGGAATATGAATAGCTAATGAAGGTGAAAGATGTTTTTCACTTAGGTGGGCTAATATTTAAGTAGTCAAGTTTTGATTAAGAAAAATTGAAATTGCAAGATGAAAGTGAAGAGGTTACTCTAAGACTCACAGGACAATGTAGACAAAAATGAGGAGAAGCATAACATTTGAGCTTGGCTGCATTCTATATAAGCAGGGAGAGAGGATGAAAGAACTAAGAATAAGTTGTAGTAAGAGAGTGAAGTTAGATTGTGCATAACTGAGAAACTGATAGCAAATAATAGCCTCAGTGGTGAATGAGCATGATTTTAACTTCAGCCTTTTGTATGAATGGTTTAGTAGAGAGAGAAGTGCACACATGCAGTCATTTTCATAAGGGAAGAATGAATACATTCTGGTAACAGAAAATACGATTTTCTTTTCCCCACAGACTGAATGTCTGAAGGTATTGAAAAAGTGAAAGAAAACGAAGATTCTCAGGATAGTAATAAATGCAGGACTGAGCCTGCACTTCTGCAAGAATGTAAATTTTAATACGGGAGAGATTCTGGGAAAAGATTCATAACATTTTCCTTATTTTAATCCTAAAGTGGATGCAAAACAGACAAGCTGGTATTTCCGGCATGAGGGGAAATCCCAGCCTGGATAAAAATGATGACAGGCAGTTTGGCTTGTTGTGGGTGATTTTAGGCTTTGGCAACTTGACTGAATGAGTTGTCAGACTAATATGGGGAACAAGTAAAGATTACCCTGCCCTTGGAATTATCTCCATGAATATGTAGGATTAATTGGAAGAGCATTTTAAAATAGGACACTAAAGAGACAGATTTGAGAGTAAGCATGGATTCAACTATTCAGGAAAACTGGGTTTATTAATTTTGCTACAGTAATTAACATTCTTCTGTTTTTACAACTATTGCGTATTCACTACCAAAGAATATACAAATATTTTCTCCTCAAATGGTATATATTTTTGTTATTATTGAAATATCTAGTTTTGTCTGCTCTCAGCTTTGGAAAAGAAAGAGGTTACAAGAAGAATGAATAAACAAAGGATAAATGGTAGACAAGGTGAACCAAATGAGATCTGACAACTCACCTTAGAACACTGAGGTTGTCTGACATCTTTAAATGAATGATTTAACCGTTGTGAGGAAGAGAAGTTCAAGAAAAAGCCCTGAAGGGAAAAAAAGTAAGGGCAGAGAGACATTTTGTTGAATGGGGAGAGAGCAGGCTTTGAAGCCAGATGGACTTTGGTACAAGTGGCAACATCATCAATTATAATTGACTGTGTGGTCTTGGGGAAGGAGTGTAAATTCTCAGGGTGTCTGGTCTCTTGTTGGTAAGAATACCTGCTTTGTGAATTTCTTGGAAGGACTGGAGAGAGTGTAGGTGAAATGCCAGGAACATATTCCAGACACTCATTAATAGTAGCTGCTGGGGCTCTAGAAAAACAAAACAAACAAACAAACAAACAACAACAACAAGATGCTTAGTTATGACAGGTCTTGTGTAGCATTTATTTTAATGAAAATCAGTCTAATCAAATGGATGTTAACCAGGTTTATAGGTCGAAACAAATACTGTAAGTTTACTTTAATTTTAATATAGTTTTACTAAAAAAGCTAGCAGGTATGGAATTAATGATTTTATATTAGACACACTGATATTGACAGGACAGAAAATTTCCCTCACTGTGAATGTAATGAATGTACAACAGCCCTTTGTTGCTCCCTTAATAATTTTTTGAAATGGTTTCTTCTCATCCAAGGAAAGAGCTGGAGTGTGAGACAGACGTGAAGCCTTTCAATCAGATGACCTTAGTTTATTTTTAGTACACTATCAGTTTGATTCTTATTGAAAGCTGGAAACTTTAATTTCCAATCCTCCAAATAGATATGTAATTCATATCTTATTGAGAGGCCACTTAAAGTTAACACTATTTAAAAATGTGTATGCAATTAATTCTATGAACATGGTGGCCTAATTGCCATTATTTTCTTACAACTGGAGTTAGAAGAATGAAGAATTTTGTGCTAAAGAAACATTCGTCTTTCAAAATTCAAAATTATAGATATTTTCGTACTGTGACATTAAAATGAGGCCACTGGAAGTCTTGGGTCATTGTCTTGTTCAGCTGTTTATCCCCTCAAAGCACCACCCCTGTACTATACAGAAGAAATGAAATTCTCATTGTTTTCAATAGAAATTGAACATTTTTATTTTCTTTGAAAAACAAAAATCTAGGCCGGGTATGGTGGCTCACGCCTGTAATCCCAGCACTTTGGTAGGCTGAGGTGGGTGGATCACCTGAGGTCAGGAGTTTGAGACAAGCCTGGTCAACATGGGGAAACTCCGTCTCTACTAAAAATACAAAAGTTAGCTGGGCATGGTGGAGTGTGCCTGTAATCCCAGCCACTCGGGAGGCGGAGGCAGGAAAATTGCTTGAGCCTGGGAGGCAGAGGTCGCAGTGAGCCAAGATCGTGCCATTGTACTCCAGCCTGGGTGACAGAGAGAGACTCCGTCAAAAAAAAAAAAAAAAAAAAATATATATATATATATATATGGCATTCAACTAATTTCTCCTCATTTTATCTGTTTCGATGTCCAGAAATGAGAAGGGAAATTATAGACTTGTATAGTTGGCAGTGAGTGTGGATCCTAATTTTGCAGATAATGAAGGTGAGGGATGGACAGGTGTCATAACTCTGCTCCTCTAAAAGCTGTAGATGCAAGAGTTTGAGGGAACCCAAGCTATGTGACTCTTTTCAGTGGCTTTGCTATGTGTGGTTCTTTTTAACTCAGTGAACACCTCTTAATAGAATGCATTCAAGAGCATCAGCCCAGACAGTGGGCTGACCTGTGCTGCGGTACTAACCTAAGACCAGAGTCCTCTTCATGAAAGAGGCTTACTCACCACTTAACGCGTTTGCTACCTGGCCAGTGCTTATGTTTGGTAGGTTCTGAAGTAGGTCCAAATGCTTCCATTTGGGAAACAAACCTTACTGGGTCTCTGAAAACTGGTCTTTGGATATAATCATGTCTGACAGCATGCCTTACTGTACATAGTAGCTCTTCCAGATCTCATCTCTGGGATAATGTGGAGCCTGCTGTACTGCTGTAACCCTGACATTTCTAATCTCATTGAATGACATAGCCTGTTCCCCAAACTGAGAGCCAGGGAGCTATTCCTGGCTTTTCATTCATCAATACATGTAATTTGATACAAATTCTGTCAATGCTATTCCTTGAATTTGTCTCCAATCCTTACTTCATCATCACCTCCAGTGCCTTCACAGATGTTTATCTATTGCAAGAAACTCCAAATTCTTCCCTCTGCAACCAGAAAGCATGCAGCCTTCACAAAATGCCATGGTGTTTCTTTGTATCTTAGGTGCCTAACAGGGTCCATAATAAACACTCAATAAACAGTCACTGAATTAAAAAAAAATGTTCAGCAGTAATATCTTAAAACAAGTAATATCTTGAAATAAATATACAGCTGCTTATAAATATACGAGCAGATATATAAGTCTACAGGCAGCTACTTATGACCCCTTTTTGAGATAAGATTTCTTCAAGACAAATAGCCTCCAAAGTGAATTATTTGTGTGGTAGTACAGAGATTTATATGGAAAGGTTTCATAAGTATTTAATGTTTTGTTTTACAAAGTCAGATCATAGTTCCTTCCTGGTTTCTCCAGTCACTTAGCAACAAGGATCATTAATTAGTTTTAAACTGATTTAAAAGCAGGTTCAAATTCGAGGTTAAAAGAAAGGAAGGGAAGTACATGGTCCCACTTTTCCTGCTTGGCTTGCAATTTTAAATAATGAAGTAATTTTACAATTATATTTAGTGGATCAATGAAGTACCTGTTTCACTGCCTGACTGAGAGTTAGATGCATGGAAATAAACAAGTGTGAGCACGAAACGAAGTCTCTCTGTAAGAAAACCATCTGGAGCATCTGGCAGAGTAAAGACAATTCCCTTGGCAGCTCACAGCAAAGCTGATTCTTCCCCCCTCCGTTTTTACAATTTAGACAGAAATTCTGATTGACAGCAAAGGCTACTCTTCAAGGTATGGCTTTTCCCTTAATGTTTAATTTTCAGATTGTATTGTAACTTTGATTTCAGCTTTCCTTTTTTCTGCATGTTGACAACCAAATTGAAACTAAAAGCTCACTTATTTGAAGGTTTTCTTAAATAGAAACCCTAGGGATGTTCTAGTCGATGCAAGTAAATGATCACTCAAATTCCGTTAACCTTCCTGAGCTTGCGTGTTTTGCAGGCTGGAAAACACTTGCACCTAAAAGACTTTGTGAAAGGGGTGGTTCCTCATTTTGTTTATCCTCTTTTAGCTTATGGTGATGAATTCAAATTATAAAAACTGTAATGAGGTCACAAGATCATTCACACCAAACAGATAGGTCAAGAAATGCAGCGTCTGTTCTTAGTAGTTTATCTGATCCTCAGAGCCTCACCCTGCGGACGGTTAGGGACATCTTCCCTTTGCCAGTGGGAACTACTATCACTTCATGTTTATATTTCTCCTTTTAGTTTAAACATCCAGACTATTAGAAATTCAAATCAGGGCCAATATAACAGCCTCTTTGGAATGACTCTATTTTTTTTGGTAAATTACTAGTCATCCAAATTTTATACCCACCTCTCTTTTTCCTGCCCAAGATGGCTTCTTGGGGGCATTGAGGAGGTTTCATCTGTGGCAGAAGAGACCAGGTGAAAAGATGTATGTGGTGTTCTCTAGATGCTCTCAAATTGCAACTGTGGAGTGGCTGGGTTAGGCTGCTTTTCTGAACTGGTAACTGCCAAGGTTCAAGTGGTCTCATCTGGCTGTTTGAGTTTAAACCTAGTGGTGCCCATGGTGGAGCCAACAGCCCAATAGCCTTCAGTCTTGAAGTTGTTACTAACAGCAGCCACATCATTTAGACTCCAAGCTTCTGGAAAGTCATGGGCAATGTGGGAGGCATTGTATGACGAAGAGAGATTTGGCCCTGTAATTTGAATTTTCTCTTTGAGATTTGGCCATGTGACTTTGGGAAAGGCAAGTGACACTCTATGATCTTCAGTTTCTTTGTCAAGTGGAAATAATAATACCTGGCAGAGGCCTGAAGATTATAAAATTGGAATGTTTATTCCTGATACAGACTGGATAATATATGACTGTTATTAATATTTCTTGAATATTTGTGGTTTGAGTGTTCTTTTAAAGCCCAAAATCAAAAAGAGAAGAGTAAGGAGGGAAAAAAGAAAGGAAGGAAAGAAAAGACACAGAGCCATATCTCTATTTAATATTTTAGATTGCTCTTTGACTTTTGTTTAGAGTTTTTTCCTGATTAAATAACACTGAATCTTTATCTAATTTGATTCATATGAGAAAAGACTGAGACCACAAATGGAAGAAACATTATATAAGTTAATGTTATTATTATATTTATAATATAATCATTCTAGGAATCTTGGGTAATCTACTTTTAAAATTAAGAACCATCTGTAAAATACCCATCATGGGATTTGGTGAGATAAACGATATCATATTTAATGGTTCAGAACGTTAGTTTCCTCTTTATCATCAATATTTCTGTGTGGAAAGAAAAACATCAGTTAGGTAGTTAGATTTCCCAAAAGTGTTTTCAAGAGAATTTTGTACATCTAGGAAAAATTTTGCTGATAAAACATTTTTTCTCTACTCTTAGTTTTTAGGCCTCCTACAAGCACTCTGTAATTGCACAAATGCAATTGCTGATTCAAACTAAAGCATGAGAATTATGCTAAACAAAATCCAGCCCTAGAAAAACATTTTCGTAGTGCCCATTAATGTGATAAATCTGATAATTTTTAAGTGGTAACTATATGTAGATTTGTAGAGTGGGTAATCCATAAAAGAGCTGGACCTAATTATCTTGGTAAGTAGCTTCATAGTTGACACCAGGGAGACTTGTTCATTTATAGTCTTCTCTGTATGTGTATGTATTGACATGTTTGCAAACTGGGGTTCAGTAAGGCTACATCTAGACAGATTTTTTTCTAGTATGTCAGGAAATTATCTTCTAATTGGTTATATATATATGTATATATGTGTGTGTGTATCTATATCTCCAATTGGATATATATCTATATCTCCAATTAGATATATATCATTCCAATTGAGAAGTACCCCTCCTCCATTACAACCCTTCCTCTACTACCACCAATTTGAAGAAATTGTTATTCTGGTAATTAAACTAATAAAACTGACAAATAATGAAAGAGATTACTTTCCTCAATAGTTAACTCCTAAGACAGGCTGTCTGAAATACTTCGGGAAATATATAACAACATATGTATAAGATGCGTACATTGAAAACTACAAAAGATTGTTAAGAGAAAATTTAAAAGTCGAATAAAAAGGAAAAATATCATATTCTTGAACTAGAAAATTCATATTGTTAAGAAATCAATTTTCCCCAAATTGATCTTTAGATTCAATGCAAGTCCTCCCAGAGGACTTCTCTGTAGGAACCCACAAGCTGATTCTAATAGATATGTGGAAATAAAAAGGACCTACAATTGTCAAAATAGTCCTTTAAAAGACAAATAAATTTGGAGGATTTCCATTTTCTGATTTCAAGCTTTACTTCAAAGCTACATAATCAAGACAGTTTGGTCTTGGTATAAAGATAGATCAGTGGAATAGAGTAAACAAAGAGTTCAGAAATATGTTCAATATATAGATGTGTGTATAGACTTACATTCAACATACTAACATATGTAAAGAACTCTCACAACTCAAAAACAAGACAAATGACAAGTTTAAAAAGGGAGTGAAGGATTGGAACATACCCTTCACAGAAATACATATGCAGTGGCCAAGAAAGACATGAACATATCATTAATCATCAGGGAAGTGCAAATTTCCCTGATGAGATATTACTACAAACCTGCTAGAATGGCTAAAATTTAAAAGACTAACAAAAATAAGTGTTGGAAAGGATGTGGAGCAACTGGAACTCTCATACACTGCTCCTGGGAATGTAAAATACTATAAATACTTTGAAAAACAGTTGTCAATTTCTTACAAAGGAAAACATATACTTCCATATGACTCAGTTTTAGATCATATGGAAGTATATGAAAATCTATGTCCAAGAGGAATGAACCCTATGTCCACAACAAGACAGGTACACTAATGTTCACAGCAGCTTTATTCATAATAGCTCCCAACTGAAAACACCCCTAATATACA